CCCGAGCCTTCATCTTTTCTTTCATATCTTTAGCAGGCCCCTGTGCCCCACATCCCTTTTCTTCTCTTTCCCCAGCAGCCTTGCCCGGCCCTGTCTCCCTCTCCAAGCCCCTCTTTCCAGTGTATCTGTACACTTCTCTGGACTGTGAATCCTGCCCTGCCCTGAACCTTTCCTCAACTGTTGGCTTCAACTGCCATCAGAATGTTCCACCCTCAAAATTCTTAGGGGTTGGTGCCCTGGTTCTGTGGCTGGGTGGACTACAAGGCCCCGAGGACTGGGTTCAGCCTTTACATCTGAGTGGTCTCAGCCTTCAGCACCCAGTAACCACACAGCAGTGCATGGCGACTTGATTTTCCCACCTAATTCTTAACCAAGTTTCCAAGGCCATCGTGGTCACTTGTGTGACCCCTCTGCTGCAGGTTCACAATTTCACCACACTCACCTGCTTTGGTTGAGGAGAAACTTCTGTGGATACATTGGCAGACCTAGCTGAGAAAAGTTGGGGACCACAGGACTTCCTGCTACCTTACTTGGCTTAACCGCCTAGGACACTCCTGACCCCAAGCTGCAGTTGTCCCCTATCACCCCTAATATTGCAACTACTCCAAAGTAGCTCACACTCCAAGGCTGCAAATGCTTGTGTTCTTCTACTCTCAGGGCTGGGGCTAGGCTGTGGAGGAGGAGGAAAGGCCATTCTAGTGGCTCAAAGAGCCAGTGCAAAAGCACTGCTTATGGTGGCTTCTTTGGGGGTTGCAGATATGTATAGCTATAAGAAATATGAACTCATGTCCCCCAACAATGCCTCATGCTTAACCAGCTCTCTTTCTGAGCTCATGTGTCTACTGGGAAAATTGAGGCTTCCTCTCTGATTTGATTGTGTCTTACTACAGGTGTTTAGTACTTGGGAGTGAGAGGCCCATCTAATCAGAGCTGGCCTTGGGCTCTGCAGCTTACCCTGGTCACTCTTGGTACTCCTGTAACAAGGAATACCTTATAGTTTTCTCATTCATTTATTCATTCATTCATTCAGTCATCCAGTCATTCATTTAACAGTTATTGAACACCTATATGCCAGGCATTATGTACTGGGGATACAAAAAGTGTCAGGCAAACAGAAACAGACATTCACCTTCAGAGAGCTTCTGCCCTGACGAACTTTCTATATGAAGAGAGTAGGTTTTATAGAGCAATTGACTGGAGTAAGGTGTGTGAGATAATGGTGCAAGCTGAGGCCAGGAAAGGAGGCTGAGATGCTATGAGAACTTGCTACGAGAACTTGCAGACCAGGTTCAAAATTTCAAAATTTCAACTTTTATCCTAGAAGCCTTGGGAAGCCTTTGAAGGAAGGGTCTTAAACAGAGGAGATATAGGATCACTTTTTTTTTTTTTTTTTTCCATTTAAGTGAGGGCACCTGCGCCATGTGGAACACAACTTAGAAGGAGGCAAGAGTGGAGACTGGTCAGAAGGCCAACTGGGAAAGGAAGAGCCTTGGAGGGGAGAAAGGGTTTGACATGTAACCCAGGTTGAGGAAAATTGACGGGCTGTGAGGTCAGGGATCTGCTCATTGTGAAAGCAAACACAGAGGGGGATAATTGTAACTTGACTTTGAGGCAGGTTGAGGTGGCTTTGTAAGAGGCAGGTAAGGCTAGGATAAGTGAGAAGAGTGAGGGACTAGAGCTCTGGAAAGGTAGTGACTGGTCAGGGCTGCAGGATGGCCATTCCCGAAGCAGGAGCGCTCCAAGGGGGTTTCCAAAGCCTGCTCATCCTGGTCTTTTCAGAGCTGCTCTGAGCATCCAAGAGGTCCAGAGAAAAGGGGCTGTGGGGACACACACAGGCTGAGAGAAGCTGGGAAGGGTCAGTGTGGACCACAATTGAAGATGACCTCAGCAGACAGAGGCAGTCTGTCAGATCCCCTCCACCACCCCCTGGGCCAATGTGCCGCAGCTGGGGGCAGGCCAGCCCCCTCTATCACTAACTGTGACTGCCATTTTGTGCCTGGCCATCCATCCCAGACAACCTTCAATTGGAATCTCTCCTAATGAAGCCCTACCACACAGAGGCAGTCGGCCCTGCAATGATGTAGGCTCGAGGCCATGGTCACAGCAGGAGGCAGTGGCAGTAGAGGGTGGCAGTTAGGGGGCAGGAATCACTTGACTTTCAGAACCCCGTTGGGGTGTGGCTTCCTAAAGCTCTCTGAGGTAAGACATAGATTGGGACAAATAAGTTTTCAGTGCCGGGCATGGTGACTCACACCTATAATCCCAGCCACCTTGGGAGGCCTATGCAGGAGGATCACCTGAGGTCAGGAGTTTGAGACCATCCTGGCCAATATGGTAAAACCCTGTCTCTACTAAAAAAAATACAGAAACTAGTTGGGTGTAGTGGTGGGTGTCTGTAATCCCAGCTACTTGGGAGGCTGAGGCAGGAGAAACACTTGAACCTGGGAGGCAGAGGTTGCAGTGAGCCAAGATTACTCCATTGCACTCCAGCCTGGGCAACAGGAGTGAAACTCCATCTCAAAAAAAGCAAAAGAAAAGAAATAGGTTTTCAGCGGGAGACAGCAGGCGCATCGATGGCACCAGAGGAAGATGCTGTGACCCTGAAGGATCAATATTGGAGTGGTTATCCCAAGGATGGGGCCAGTGCTGCACCTCTTGCCCTCAATTTCTCCATCAAAATTGCATGAGGTTTTTTTCTTTTTCTTTTGGAACTTGTAATGGTATTTCTACTATTTATTTGGAAGAATATATATAGTGAAACTAGCCCAGAGAAAAGGAACAATAAGTAAAATAAATGGGCAAAAGCTTGTGCTGTTAGCTTTAAAGTGTATTTAAAATAAATCTGAAATCATTTGAACAGCATGAACCTTAGTGGCCAAATAGATCAATGACAAAGAGGAGAAAATCTAGATACAGGTTCATTTTTGCCTTATATGCTTTGAGATTAGTGTTTCTATTTACAGCTGTGACTGATACAGATGCATCACAGTTGAGAGCAAAGCGAAGTGAATGTCCCTATTAACTGGCACCATGGTGTGAGGCTGGAATGAGGGTGTGGCCAGCTAAGAGGGAATTTGCTCTTCTTGCCCTAGTTCCCCATTGTTTCCTGTCCTGTCTTGTGTCCAGCTGCTTAGCAAGCTTCGTTTTGGTATTTAATGCTTTTTATAGCTGGAACCCTGAGGTTCCTCAGAAATCTGCACATGTTTACTAGATTGGTGCTCTGGATTTTCTTTAAAGATACGAAGAAAAAGGCAAGGGCAGGTCTGTGAAGCTTCTTACCTCCAGCAGAGCTGGTGGAGTGAATGCCGTAGCTCCAGCTGCACCCCCAGCTGATGAGAATGACCTTCCATTTGCTGAGATTCTTCCCTTTTCTCTCCCCACCTCCACCACCAATATAGGCATTCGTTCTGTAGACCGTAAATGTGAGCTTTCATCCTTGAGTATATTGAGACATGACTTTTCCTAATAAAGGTGGCATTCCAAATTAGTGTAAAGCATGCAGTAATTGATACAGAAATCACCTAGTCATTTTTCCCCCCAGTGTCTGCTTGGGGGCAGGCCAGGTACTGTTCTGGGTTCAAAAATTAACCATGTAAACAACAGAAAGTGAAGTTTTTTTGTTCCCAGGAAACAGGGAGCTCTTAGTGAAGAAGAAACACAGTAGGCGATGAGTCAACCAATAAACAGCTTGACAGGAAACTGGTGAAATGAAGAAAAATGAATCCAGCTAGGACAATAGACATGGATGGAGGTGGGTGGTAGTCAAGGAAGACTTCTTGGATAAGCTGGTATTTGGGCAGAGGCCTGAAGAAGTGTAAGCCATGCTAGGGGGGCATCTGGGTAAGAACATTCCAGGAAGTGGGTACAGCAAGTGCAGAGATGCACCCTGTGGATTGACTCCTTGAAGTGAATCCTTTTTAATACCTCCTTCTCTACATGGCAAGATTTTTGTTAGTGATTATGTAATAAATTATCTTCTTCATTTATTCTTTTTTTGATAAGTATAAACTTGACATTTTTAATTAAAGTTACTTACAATTGAATTAGCTAAAAAGTCTAGTGCATTTGAAACAAAATTGTTTATAAGCTAGTTATGTTTACAGAATGAAAAGTACAATTAAAGATAAAGACATTAATATTCTAAATTGGCACTTTCCAAACTGTGTTCTAAAACTCAATACTCATAACACAAGGAGATGATAATAATGTACATTGGACAGCCCCTGTGGGTCTGGTGGTGGTGTTGATTGTTGGTGTTGGTTGTTGTTCCTTTTAAAATAAACTTCGTCTCAGGGCACTCTCAAAGTGCATCTTTGTGGCCCGTGAGGTGCTCATGCACAATGGGAGAAAATCAAATGCAGATACACTGTGGTGCCAGAAGAGAAAGAGCTGTTCCTTCTTCCAAGGCTAATGTCCAAAGTAGTACACATTGATTTAGGTCTGGAATGTACAAAAAACTTTCAATAAAGGGAATCTATCCTTCTCATTGCGTTCAACATTGTCGTAAGGCATAAAGGCATCAAATAGCTAGCTACACTTTTTCTGGGATTGCTTATTTGCTAACTGATTTTTCCTTCCACCACGACATCTAAGATTAAAAGAGAAATTGATACTTAAAATTTAGAATCTGGATATCAATATTTAGTTGACTCCAATTTTCCTTCCTTCCTTCCTTCCTTTCTTCCTTCCTTCCTCTCTCTCTCTCTTTCTCTCTTTTCTCTCTCTCTCTCTTTCTCTCTTGAGGGAGCCTTTCTCTCTTGAGGACAGAGGCGACACAGCCTCTGTTGCCCAGGCTGGAGTGCAGTGGCACGATCTTGGCTCACTGCAAGCTCTGCCTCCCGGGTTCACGCCATTCTCCTGCCTCAGCCTCACGAGTAGCTGGGACTACAGGTGCCTGCCACCACGCCCGGCTAATTTTTTTGTATTTTTTAGTAGAGAAGGGGTTTCACTGTGTTAGCCAGGATGGTCTCGATCTCCTGACCTCGTGATCCGCCTGCCTTGGTCTCCCAAAGTGCTGGGATTACAGGCGTGAGCCATCGCGCCCGGCCCCAATTTCTTAAACTGATTACTGAAGAGGGCAACCAAATGGCTGAAATAATTTTAGAATAAAAGAGTCTCTCCCTTGGCAGTATAGTTGTACTCAAAATTTTATTGTTAGATGAGGCTGGCCGGCTGTGCTGTCATTAAGGAGCATGAACGGTATTGTTGAATAAAATGCTCAGTAGATACCTCTGGATTGTCAGAGGGGCTGGACTCTAATACTGTATCTCCAGGGTTCTGTAGGTTAGCCATGTGGTGCATGTGTAGGTCTTCTCCAACTTCAAATTTATTCGTCCTTCAGCTGCTGCCTCACAGATCCCAGGAGATGACACCAGCCCCTGTTGCTGGTCCAACTTGGGGCTGGCCATGATACATTCATTGGGCTGACAGACAGTGGTAGCAATTCCTCCCAGGGCAATCATGGGGTTTAGTATGGTTTGGCCGCCCGTTACAGACATTCCTGCTTCCTCAGCTGCGTCTTTAAAACCCTGGATAACCAGAGACATCATTTTATCCCTTTCCCTGTCGGTCACTTTATTACTGACTCCAAGGAGCATCAGCATATTGTCACAATCTGTGACTCCCATTGCGTAGAGGTCACTGAAGGCGTTGGCACGTGCTATCCTGCCCATCACGGAAGGGTCGTTTATGATCCGGTAAATGTAATCTGTGGTTTGAACCAAGGAAAGCCCACCGTGCCTCAAAGGAATGACACAAGTATCCATTCCAATGCCAAGCCTTGGCGTAACGGCTCCCAGAAACTGCTCCTCTTCTTGGAAGTGGTTCTCTTGTAAAGATTCCAGCAATTTTTGCAGGACATCTTGGGGCACTTTGCAGCCTGTGCCCTTCAGTTCAGTGAATCTGGTTAGCCGGAAGCTCTTGTCCAATTTGTAACTTTCCGGGTTAAAGGACTCACCCGTAGACATGGCTTTTGGGCCTGCTCTCCTCACAGCTCACCCCCACCCCTCCCTCTGCAGGTTGGCCGGGTTCTTGCTTTGCGCCATCCGCCTCCTCCCGGAAAACGGGCCGCGAGCGGCTCCCACAATGCACCGGGCGCGGCCGGCCCCCTTTAAGCATCCCCTGAATAAAAATGCGGCGGCCCGCGGCGGCGGGGACCTGGGCTAGTGCCTGGGCGCCGCGGGGGCTCCCTTGGCTCGGCGTGACCCTGCCGGAGCCGGGCTGCCGCGCTCCCGTCAGCTAGGCGCAGGGCTGATTTATTCTTCAGTTTTAAGACAATTTAAAGTGTATACATTTCAATTTTAAAGGTAATATACAACTTAAGGAAATGATTGAATACACTTCTTAAATATGTTTTTCTTTTAAAAAACATAGCTGCAACTTAAATATATTGTGTTCACTTTTTAAATTTTAAACACCGAGTGGTAAGATAGAACAATAAAATCGAAGTGTCTTAGCTCAGGCTGCTATAAACAAAAACATCATAGACTGGGTGGCTTAAGCAACAGGAATAGAAGTTTCTTTTTTCTTTTTTTTTTTTTTTTTTGAGATGGAGTCTCGCTCTGTCGCCCAGGCTGGAGTGCAGTGGCTGGATCTCAGCTCACTGCAAGCTCCGCGTCCCGGGTTTACGCCATTCTCCTGCCTCAGCCTCCCGACTAGCTGAGACTACAGGCACCCGCCACCTCGCCCAGCTAGTTTTTTGTATTTTTTTTTTTTTAGTAGAGACGGGGTTTCACCATGTTAGCCAGGATGGTCTCGATCTCCTGACCTCGTGATCAGCCCGTCTCGGCCTCCCAAAGTGCTGGGATTACAGGCTTGAGCCACCGCGCCCGGCCAGGAATAGAAATTTCTTACCGTTCTGGAGGCTGGGAAGTCCAAAATCACATGGTGGAGAGAGAGATCATTTCTCTCATGTCTCTTGTTATAAAGGTACTAATCTTATCCATGAGACCTCCACCCTCACGACCTAATCACTTCCCAAAGGACCCCTCCTGATACCATCACTTGGGGGATTAGGGCTCCAACATATAAATTTGGGGGGAATACATTCAGTTCATAACATGAAATAACTCAAATTCTGCTTTTTTGACTTTAGAAGTCAAAGAATCGTGTTATTCTATATTTAGAGTCTACTGTTTAAATTCAGTTAAACTTACGGATATGTGGTGCTGCAAGGATTGTAGATACGAACTGCATCCAAAGCAAGGTGAAATGATTCGGAACCACTACAAACTGAACCCTCAAAATATGTATAGATGAGTGAGTGTTTACACAGGCATAAATAAATGTGCGTGTGTGTGTGTGTGCACGCACATATGCCTGTCTTCCTGCAACCCTAGAGCCCCAGAAACATTCTTAGGCTCAGCATTTGTCAGCATACAGAGTATTAGATTTTCCTTGATTGTTTTTGTTTGTTTTTGTTGTTGTTGTTTGTTTTTTGAGACAGAGTCTCCCTCTGTCGTCCAGGCTGGAGCGCAGTGGCGCTATCTCGGCTCACTGCAAGCTCCGCCTCCCAGGTTCACGCCATTCTGCTTCAGCCTCCCGAGTAGCTGGGACTACAGGAGCCCGCCACCATGCCCGGCTGATTTTTTTGTATTTTTTAGTAGAGACGAGGTTTCACCGTGTCAGCCAGGATGGTCTCGATCTCCTGATCTCATGATCCACCCACCTTGGCCTCCCAAAGTGCTGAGATTACAGGCATGAGCCACCACACCCGGTCCCTTGTTTTGATAGCTGAAAAGTCACATTGTCAGGTAGCCCCAGCTCACTTCCTGGTTTGTAACTAGGTTCTTTGATGCTGCTGTGAGATGTTCTCTCAGACCTGTATTTCTATTGCTCTGATTAGATGAATGAAAAACTACAGTCTTCATCATAAATTGCTACCTTGAGTTTTCTGTAGTTTTGCACCTCCCATGGAATGTTACTGCTAGGGAATCTATTGTCATGTCACGTTCTGCAGCCACCCGTTTACCTTGTGCCCTTGTTTACTGGAAGCTTCAGTCCTCAAATGAAGGTAGCAAGATGAACAGGGTTATGGGTTGTTACCCTCGTGGCCATTTCAAGGGCATCAGCTACACAGTAGACAGGCAGCTCTTGAGTGCCCAGTGCTGTGTTTGGATGGATCCCAACCTTGATTGGGTAAGGCTGTAAAGGGTGAGGGAGGAAGCCTATTCCTACTTTCTTTAAAGAAGGCAAAGCCACTTTATTTCATATGGTCAAAAACAAAGTAACAGCTGTTTGTTTTTTTGTTTGTTTGTTTTTTTTTAGATGCAGTGTTGCTCTGTCGCCCAGGCTGGAGCGCAGTGACACCATCGTGGCTCACTATAGCCACCACTCCCAGGTTCCAGCAGTTCTCCCTGCCTCAGCCTCTCAAGTAGCTGGGATTACAGGTGCCCACCACCATGCTCAGTTAAGTTTTTGTAATTTTTTTTTTAGTAAAGACAGGGTTTCACTATGTTGGCCAGGCTGGTCTTGAACTCTGGACCTCAGGTGATCCTCCTGCCTTGGCCTCCTGAAGTGCTAGAATTACAGGCATTAGCCACTGTACCCAGCCAGCTCTGTTCTTTTTTCATGAATTTAACCTTCTAAATAGGAAGACATTTCTAAATGCCACACAATTTACCAACAGATTGGTTGTCAGTCATAGTCTGCATGTGTCTGTGTTTCCAACTTTACCTGTTTTGTAATTTACTAGAAAAACAGCAGAGTATGACTTTGCTATTTTAAACAGAAGGTTGGGATCCTAATGAAAGCATTTTCTTGATTCAGGATTTCTGTATTTCTGCCAGGGAGAGGCTAGAAGCAGGAGAGGGTGAGAGGGACATTATAATCTCTGTATAGTTTTGCAGTTAAGATGGTACCCAGGAATGTGCTCACCCAGCTTGCTCCCAGGAGGTAGTATGACTTCAACCCGGTGAACCGATCCCTTTATGGAGTGGCCTTCCCAAGGATGTGATGATGTTGGTGACCGTATGAACAGTAATCTGTATCTAAGACAGCTATAACTGCTCTATTCTCTTTTTTTTTTTTTTTTTTGAGACGGAGTCTCGCTCTGTTGCCCAGGCTGGAGTGCAGTGGCACGATCTTGGCTCACTACAAGCTCCATCTCCCGGGTTCACACCATTCGCCTGCCTCAGCCTTCTGAGTCGCTGGGACTACAGGCGCCATCCGCCAGACCTGCCTAATTTTTTTTTTTTTTTTGTATTTTTAGTAGAGACAGGGTTTCACAGTGTTAGCCAGGATGGTCTCTATCTCTTGACCTCGTGATCCTCCCGCCTCCGCCTCCCAGAGTGCTGGGATTACAGGCATGAGCCATTGCACCCGGCCTGCTCTATTCTATAATGACTGTTGTTGGCTTTTAAATGAAGCCTTTATAAATAAAGGGTCTATTTACTTAAAAGTTAAATGTGTGATTTAGGATGAGCCAACTAGACTGACAGAATTTACCTCAACCTCTAGGTGGATTCTCGAGTTAGCCGGAGTGTGTATCTGGGGAAAGCAGCCTAGAGTCTCATGGGTCTCTGACCACAGGGTATGAAGAAAACCCAGGCTATTTAAAAAATATGTTTGCTTCTAGAAAATAAAACAGTGTTTGTAGATGTTTTGAAAACATTCCTAAGGATGACAGAAGGAGACTTTGGTAGTCAACAGAGGCAACTGTCTTCCAGGGCTGTTGACAGAGCTGCAGTGTGAAGTTGGCCTCAGCTGAGGAGCTTCACTCCCTCCCTGCCGCCACCGTCCCCCATAACTGGCTTCTCCGTCAGCCTTAGGAAAAGCAGTCTTGTTGAGTTCTCTTCAGTTCTTACTCACAGCCTGTCATCCATTGGGTGATAGAAAAAACACCAACTTGGGTTTTGCATTGTTTACTTTTACAAATCCCAATTCAACTCCATCTTGAGCTGTCTAGGGAAGGGAAGAGGCCTCTGATAAGCACAGCTGGAACAGTGGGAAAAGATTCTCTGGCTCTGCTGTTGACATGACTTGCTTTCTTCTATCACCAAGGGGTCTCTAGAAATGATCAGAGAAGTCAGAGGAAGTTTGAATATCAGATATATCTTCAGAATTTCCAGTCAACTCTTCAGATTTAAGTGGAGAGAGATGAACGACATGATATAGAACCAGCAAGCACACAAACCTTCCGAAGAGACCAGAACTTGTGGCCTCTCCTTTAAATGTTCACCTGTCCTTCTCTTTCATCTCTTTGCCAAGGCGCCTGTGTCTCCTTGCCAAACTAAAGATCAAAGGGAAATGAAAGTATTTGGGATCAGAATGATTGATCTTAGATTGGGAAGGATCAGTGAAATCCTTTCATCCAGTATTCTGTTTTTCACAGAATAATCTAAGGGCTACTTAACCCCATGACAAACCTGTATTTTATCAGTGATCAATTTTGGTCTTAAGATAATGTATAGGAACTGTGCTTGTGGCAAACGATATCGGTTTATTTTCTTCATGGCCAGGGATATGTGGGAATAGGATCAGAACTTTCTGGATCCTTAAAAACCATTCTATAGAAAATTGTAGGGCCGGGCGCGGTGGCTCAAGCCTGTAATCCCAGCACTTTGGGAGGCCGAGATGGGCAGATCACGAGGTCAGGAGATCGAGACCATCCTGGCTAACACGATGAAACCCCGTCTGTACTAAAAAATACAAAAAACTAGCTGGGCGAGGTGGCGGGCACCTGTAGTCCCAGCTACTCGGGAGGCTGAGGCAGGAGAATGGTGTAAAGCCCGGGAGGCAGAGCTTGCAGTGAGCTGAGATCCGGCCACTGCACTCCAGCCTGGGTGACAAAGCGAGACTCCGTCTCAAAAAAAAAAAAAAAAAAAAAAAAAAAAATTGTGGAATGGAGAAAAGTTAAAAAAAATTGGGGTCCTTACTTTCTTTATGAATGAATGCTCCTGGCTGGGCCTAGAGACTAGTATCATGCTGATATCATGCTTCTGTTCATGTTGGGACCCACAAAACTGTGTCCTGTAATGGGTGGGGTTACTGGTCCCTGAAGCCCAGGGTCTTCAGACAACTTTGGCATTTGATGGGATGTGGTCATGAATGTTCTCTGTGGCCATACAAGAGGAGGAAGGTACCATTGAAAGGAAGGTCATTTGGTGATGAAGCTGGGCATTATCTC